TTTATGTTGAGATCTTTGATCCATTTGGACTTAAGTTTTTTTTTTTTTCTCATAAAACTCTTATTTCCAATTGCTTCCACTTTCTTGCCCAGGAGTAGTGGAAAATAGCATGTTTCAGTTTTAAGAATTGGAGCTGTAGCCCAGCAGGGCCGCAAGTTCAGGGAAGGCTCTGAGGGATCGTGCTGTGATACTGCACTGTTATCTGTCTGCTGGCTTCTCTGATGTGCCAGCAGGCACTGATGGCATCACCCCTAACTCCCTCCATGGATTCCGGGGCTGGAAATAAACTCATCTGCGCTAATGCTGGAGGTCAACTCATTAGGTAAGCTCCACAGTTTGGGCGTGAATTTTCCACAGCAGCGCATGGGTGGCTGTTATAAAGAACATGTTCTCTGGCACAGCCACAGCAGTAACTCAGCTTCACATCCCGCCTTCTCAGAGGTGGAGGCTTTTGCTCATCATCGGGAAAAGAAACAAAATGAGGAAGAGAAAGAATGGCAATGGGCTTGGCTGCTTCCTTCCCTCCACTGTGCCTTCCGAATAGCAGCAGCCCCTCCATCATTCCAATGTCAGCCCTTGTGCTGAGAATTGCACCTGCACAGCTCAGTAGCTGGTTGGCCTATTTATTGGCTACAGCAGAAAGCTGGTCCCGGATTCGGCCCAGACCATCTAACATAGTAGCCAGCATTTCCTTGCTTAGTTCCATGGTCACAGCTGAGATGTAGGGTTTGTCTTCACACAGACTAGAATCTTCTTGTATCTTCATCTGGAGCAGGCAGGAGGAGACAGCCATGCGGCTGATGCTGTCTGAGGAGGTTTTGATATCCACTCTCCAGTCCAGGTCCACCAGGTATGGCAGAGAGATCTGGTTTGCTTGGGCTTCAGTTCTCCAAGTAGATATGTGCTCCAGGATGATTTTTGTCAACAGGTTTTTGAGGTTTTGGTGGAAATTTTCCAGAAAGAGAGGCAGAATTGCTTCGGCAGAGGAGAGGTCTCGGAATGCCACCAACCTAGTGAATCGGTGTAGAGCCTGGAGCAGTTTCTCTGCCTCCTCCTGGGTCACAGACAAGCTGGAACATGTAACATCCAAGAGTTTCTCTGAGTCAAGGGCTGAACTGGAAAAGCTTTCTTGGCACAATTGTCTGATGATATCTTTCGAGGAGGCCTTCAGCAGGCTCTGGAGCACCTCAAAATTCTCCACTGTCAAGGCTGCCATCTTTCTGGTGTCCTGGACTTAAGTTTTGTGCATGGTGACAGATATGGATCTATCTGCAATCATCTGCATGTCCAAATCCAGTTGTGCCAGCACCATTTGTTGAGGATGCTTTCTTCTTTCCATTTTATAGATTTAGCTTCTTTGTCAAAAATCAGGTGTTCATAATGTGTGGGTTAATATCAGGGTTTTCAATTTGATTCCATTGGTCTATCTGTCTGTTTTTGTGCCAATACCAAGCTGTTTTCAGAACTGTGGCTCTATGATAGAGCTTGAGGTCAGGGATGGTGATGCCACCAGAAGATCCTTTATTGTACAGAGTTGTTTTGGCTGTCCTGGTTTTTTTGTTTTTCCATATAAAGTTGAGTAGAGAAACCAAATTTAATGGAAGGGTAAAGACATGGTATAAAGATTCAGGCATTATGCTGGCCTGCCCCTGTCACCTGGCAGAATGCATTCAGATAGTACTCTGCTCAGCTCAGGGTTCCATGGAGGTGCAAAGGACCCCTTTTAGAGAAAGACCCTGCCCACTTAATGGTCTTTCTTCCTGCTCATCTCTTTTTGCTCTATTTTCTTTCTTATCGCTCTTTCTTGCTGTTGCCCTGGGGCAGACTGGATTTTTCTGTCTCCCTCTTCTCTCTTGTCCTCTCTCTGTGTCTGTGTCTCTTTACCTCTTTTCTCTTCCCTTCCCCATTCCATCTCTGTTCCTGTTTGGCCAACATCTACCCCTCCCTTTGCTCCCTTTCCCAATAAACTCTATGTGGGTTTGTTGAGTTTTGTGGTTCATGTTTCATTGTCAGCATTAGCTGCAGCAAAACAACAACAACAACAACAACAAAAACCCAAAAAACCCCACATATGCTGTTAAGATTGTAAGAAGACTGGCCACATTACATTCTCAGTCAGGGAGTAGAGGGTAATGAATGCTAAACTTTCATTTGGTTTCTGTTTTTTATTCAGTTTGAGATTACAGACCAAGAGGTGTGACATCCATAAGCAGAGTGTGTCTTCTCTTTTGTGGTGATACATTGTTTATAATTTACTAAAGCCACTGGAGATCAAAATAGCAAAGCAGCCATACTAGTTAGCCATAGCAGCCAAGCAGTGGTGGCACACACCTTTAATCCCAGGACTCAGAAGGCAGAGGCAGATGGATCTCTTGAGTTCAAGATCACCCATGGCGACACAAGGTTGAATTAGTCTAAAAGAGTAACAGAGCACGTGCCTTTAATCTTAGGACTCATGAGATGTATCTAAGACAGGAACAGGGTCTCAGAGCTGGCATTCATTCTCCAGCCACATTGAGGATAGGAAGGCATTGATTCTCCATCCATACTCAGGACAGGCAGGAGTCTGAGGCTTGGTGGAGAGCTCATGGAGATAGGATCATCTCTGAGGTAAAGTAAGAGCTAGTGGCTTGGCTGCTTTGCTTCTCTGATCTTTAGCTTGAAGCTTGAACTACAATAGCTGTCTCTGTGTCTTTTATTTTTTTTTGTGCTATATCTCTCCAGTTAAACATCTGAAAATATTCTCATAGACATGCTCAAAGGTTTGTTTCCATGGTGATTCTAGATTCCATCAGTTGACCGTTGAGAAAACTCATCACAAAGTATATAGTTCACGAGGACATTTATTTTATCTTTAACTACTATGCTTTCTACATATACCCATATTGTTACAGGTAGTTGTAATTCATATTTTTACAATGTATGAATAGATACTATTTTTTCAGTGAATGGCATTTGTCACATTTCAATTTTTATGCCATTAAGAACTTTTATCATACAATTTTTAAAAAGAACAATATCAGTAATTTTTTGTTTTGTTTTGTTTTTTGAGACAGGGTTTCTCTGTGGCTTTGGACTCTGTCCTGGAACTAGCTCTTATAGACCAGGCTGGTCTTGAACTCACAAAGATCCACCTGCCTCTGCCTCCCGAGTGCTAGGCAATATCAGTATTTTAATGAGCACTTTTCCTTTACTTTTTAAATTGCATATGTAATTTCATTATATTCTTTTTCTTAAATGATATTTATCAATATAAACTTTAGTAATGTGTGTAATTTTTGCAAATGTTGTGTGGGAAAATTACTGTAGATTAAATCACCAATTTTTCTCTTATTCTGGAGCCTTTGCATATACTTTGGCTCTGTTTTGAAGAACTTTTGCTTCCCTGCTTGTCATCCTCATTAACTTGAGTTACACTTATTCATACTAAATGCACCTAATTTCTTGGGGTCTTTCTGACCATCCTAGGTTACAATTGGTGACCACAAACCTTGTGGCAAGTTTCTATTCTATTGCATATTTTCCAATTCAAAGTTACCAATTGTACTCATATTTATGCCCATTTATAGCTTTTTATATGATTTATGTCTACCAACATGGGGTTTGGAATTATAGATCTATGCTTGTTGTATGATGTCTTTAAACACTCCCTGGGGCCTGGTACTAGTAAGATGGGCTATAAAAACAATCCAGATAAACTAGTGAAGGGGTTTCTAATCTATTACCTCCTGTTCATCCAAATTATTAAAAGCAATTATTAGAAACACTTTCAGACAATGTGTTTTAATACTGTAGTAATCATCAATACACTAAACCAACCAGACCTCTAGTCACTCATTGGTCCATGGAGCTGCATGCAGTTCACAATGCCAGTTATTGACTCCAACCATTAGACTGCCAGGCAAGCCAGTAATAATTGTTTCAGGAACTTGATCCATGAATATATCCTGTTAATTTCCCAGGAGTAAAGCCAGCTGCTACCCCTCTTTTAACAAAAAAATTAAGAGAGCAGGTGGAAATTACCATATTTATAAATGATTGTCAAAAAATTATTTACTTGGATTTTGGACAGTGAAGAATAAGAAGCCAAATACAAAAGTATTCAAATCAGGAGTTTTTAATTTGGATTTGAGTAAATAAAGATTAACCTAGAGAAAAGTATAAATGAAACATGTTCCCATTATATTTTTTTAATCTTAGTATCTTTTCAGGGCTTGGTAAACTCTACAATATCTAAACCTCTCATGACTCAGACAAAGGAACAAAGGATTGGCAGGATAATTTTTGTTTCTTCTTGCATATCAGATCTTTTAAAAGATATCATTTTTCCTCTCCCTCCTCTCCACACCCAAACACTCCCAATTTCCTCAGGAGATCTTGTTTATTTCCCTTTCTCAGTGGGCTCCATGTATGTCTCTCTTAGGATTCTCCTTGTTGCCTAGATTATCTGGGGACATGGACTATAGGGTGGTTATCCTTTGCTTTATGTCCAATATTCACTTATGAGTGAGTATATAATGTGTTCATTTTTCTGGGTCTGGGTTACCTCACTCAGGATGTTTTTGTTTGTTTGTTTGTTTTTCTAGTTCCATTCATTTGCCTTCAAATTTCAAGGCATTATTGCTTTTTACTGCTGAGTAGTACTCCATTGTGTAAATATACCACATTTTCTTTATTCTTTGGTTGAGGGGCAAGGGGGGAGGAGAACATGAGGTAACAGAATGGTCGAGATGGGGGAAGGACAGAGAGGGAGAGAGAGGAAAGCGATATTTTGATTGAGGGAGTTATTATGGGGCTAGAGAGAAATCTGGCACTAAGGAAATTCCCAGGAATCTACAGGATGACCCCAGAAAATGCCCTAAGCATTAATGAAGAAGGTGCCTGAACTGACCTTCCCCTGTGATCAGATTGATGTCTACCTGAATTATCATCATAGAACATTCATCCAACAACTGATGGAAGCAGATGTAGAGATCCAAAGAGAAGCACTGGGCCAGGCTCCCAGAGTCCAGGTGAAGAGAGGTAGGAGCAATAATTTGAGCAAAGGAGTCAAGACCCTTTTGGGGATACCCACAGAAACAGCTGACCTGAGCTAGTGGGAGCTCACTGACTCTGGACTGACAGCTGTGGAACCTGCATAGGACCAAACTAGGTCCTCTGAATGTGGGTGACAGTGGATGGCTTGGGAAGTTTGTGTGGTCACTAACCGTAGGACCAGGATCTATCCCTAATGCATGAACTGGCTATTTAGGGCCCATTTCCTATGGAGAGATGCCTTGCTCAGCCTAGACACAGTGAGAAGGGCGTTGGTCCTGCCTCAAGGTGGTGATGGGACAGATGAGAGGCCTTAACCTCTCTGAGGAGCAGATAGGGGGTGGGTGGGAGGAAGGTTTGGTGAGTGGGAGGAGGGGAAAGGGGGAACTGGAATTGGTATGTAATAAAAAAGAAAAGAAAAGAAAGAAGCCAAGCTTTGCCTAGCATCATTCGGTTTATATTCCAGTGTGAGGCAGACTAGAAAATGATAAGAATAATAACTGTTTGTATTTAGAAAATTTATTTTATTTATAGAAATACCAGAAGTACTAATAAAATTTGTAGGAATATTAAACCAAGCCTGATAGCACACACTTATAATCCCAGCACTCAGGAAGCTAGGTGGAATGACTGTGATTTCAAACACAACCTGGACAGCATAGTCAGACATTCTCAGTAAGTCAGGCAAGCAAACAAACAGAATAGCAAAAAATCCACCAAAAACAGCAAAAACTCTTTTAGTGATAAAGGTATTATATTTAAAGCATTGGGTCTAAATGAAACTATAGTTAATAGAAGAATGAAAATAGTAAAAAAAAAAAAAAGACTGCTTCTTCTTAGGCCATCATTGCTAAAATAAATTGCTTTTAAAATGTACTCCCCAAGTAGATATGTGGATAATTTTATGGAATATTAAGTGTGTTATAAAATATAAATGTAGAGGCACATATGGATGGACATTTACATAATGCATGTAGTTAAAAGAGTAGTAAGGAGTTCAGAAATTAACTTAGTACATCTTTAAATGTAGTGTGTGTTAAGGAAGCATCAGAGAAACACTGGGAAAAGCTGAATTATTCAGTAAGGGATACTAAAACAACTGTACAGCCAGCTGGAAATAATAAAATTGGATCCAACCACAATTTCATATAGAGCAAAGAGTTTAGTGGAAAAATTGATCTA